TCAGTTAAGAAAGCTCCGTTCTGGAGACAATCCTGGTTGAAACATCCACAGCTGAGCACAGTGAACTGCTGTTGAATTCAAAAGCTATTGGTGATATACCCATTGAGGTTACTCCCCATGCTTCCTTGAATTCCTCACGAGGAGTTATTGTTGAGGGGGACTTGAAGTCTATCCCTGAGTTGGAGATCCTTGCTGGTTTCTCCAAGGAGTTTAAGCAGTTTGAAGGATCTCCACCCGTCAAGATAGTATTATGGTGCCGACCCCAGTTCTGATTTTGACATTTTCATCACCACGTCCACCTGCCACTGTTAAGGCGGGTTATTTGAATTGTAAGGTACGGCCCTATATTCCCAACCCTCTCCTATGTTTTCAGTGCCAGCAGTTCGGTCACTCAAAGACATCTTGTCGTGGTTCTGTGACGTGTGCTTGTTGTGGTGGCAAGGACCACGACGCCTACGAGTGTAAACTGGACCCTTACTGTGTTAATTGTAGTGGTTTCCACCCCTCTTACTTTAGGTCTTGCCCTAAGTGGGTGGAGGAGAAAGAGGTACAGCGTTTGAAGACTATTAATAACATCTCTTATCCTGAGGCTCGGAAGCTATTTTCCCTACTACATCTCGGACATATGCCACTGTACTACGCTCTACTGCTACAGTGGGAGTGCAGATGGACCTTTCTGTGCCTCCATCTGAGTCTTTTTCACGCCATGTGAGAGGTCTTCTGCCCTCCATGAATAATAGAGTTAAGAAGTCTACATCTACTCCAATCTCTGTCCCCACTATTCCTTCCCGTGACTGCCTGGGTCAACCTCCTTGGGCACCAGCCTCTGGTGTTTGTACGGGTTCTTCTTTGGCCCCTAAATGCAGGACGATCATTCGATCACGTCCTCTGTCATTGGATTCTCACTCTGATGACAGAGATCTGCCCACTCGATCAAGGGCAGATCCATAGAGGTCGATCGACCTCCATCTAGTAAAGAAAAAGGCGTGGTTGTAAACCGAAGGGTTCTCCACCCTGTTCTCCTAAACCTACATAAAAATGCCCACTTTGATACAGTGGAACTGTCGAGGTTTTCGTTCTAATCTAGATAACATTAAGGCCTTGATTGACTCCTATCATCCCGCTTGTCTCTCCTTACAGGAAACGTTTCTGAAACCTGCTGATACAGTCACCTTTCAGCAGTTTTCTTTGTACCGGAATGACAGATTGTGTGATGGGCGGGTACACGGAGGGGTGGCACTGCTGGTCGACCAGCATGTGCCCTCCTTGTCTATGTCCCTTGATACACCCTTGTAGGCCATAGCCATCCGTGTTTCCTTGGGTTGTGCCATCACTGTTTGTTCTCTCTACCTGTCTCCTGGGGAGACTTATGATCAATCAGACCTTGATGCTCTCGTTGACCAGTTGCCATCTCCCTTTTTACTTCTGGGAGACTTTAATGGACACAACCCCCCTCTGGGGTGGTGCTGATATTGATGGGAGGGGTCGTTCCATAGAGCATATGCTCTTGGATCACAACCTTTCTCTCTTAAGTACTGGAATATATACTTATTTTCATGCACCTAGTCAGTCTTTTACTGCCATTGATCTCTCGATTTGCTCCCTTTACTTTTCACTCGCTTTTCTGGGATGGTCGACAGTGACCCAAGGGGCAGTGATCATTTTCCTATCATTATGAGGGAGGTTGGCCATAGTTGATGCCACCTGACCCAAGTGCCACGGTGGAAGCTGGACCAGGCTGACTGGCCATCTTTCACTTCTCTCTCTGAACTTGATCCTGCCTTCATCTGTCTGCCATCAATAGGCGACTATGAGGTTGCAGTGACTGACTGTATTGTCCAGGCGGCTGCTCATTTTATTCCTAAGACCTTGACACGTTTTCCATGGTATCCTCGTCCATGGTGGAGTCCCTACCTGCCAGGAGGCACGGAAGGCTCAAAAACGGGCCTGGGATACCTTCCAACAGTATCCCTTTCTTTCTAACTGCATTGTTTATCAGTGGGCCCGTGCCCATGCTCGGCAGGTTTGACGTCAAAGCCAAAAGGAGTCTTGGATTAAGTTCACTACTAGCATCCTTTCTACCACCAGTTCCAAAACTGTATGGAACAAGATTTGAAAAGTCACTGGGAGGTATGCTTCCCATCCCCTTTCCATCTTCCTCTTCAGTGCTGATGCTCTCGGCCACAGCTTTTCTTGTGCTTCTAGCACTTCTGTTCCTTCCCCTGCCTTCTTGGCCATAAAGTCTTGGACAGAGCGATCGTCTCTATGATTATAGTCACCCCTTTACACTGGTGGAACTCAAACTTGCTCTTCATTGGTCGGACCTGATGATGTTCATTATGAGATGTTGCACCATCTCTCTCCTGCCTCTCTTGCTATTCTTCTGGTTATTTTTAACCGGATTTGGCAGGAACATATTTTTCCAGATGCTTGGCGCCAGGCTATTGTCCTCCCTTTCTCGAAACCTGGGAAGGATCCCAAGATTCCTTTTAATTATCGTCCCATCGCTTTGACAAGTTGTCTTTGTAAGGTTCTAGAGAGGATGGTTAATGCTCATCTTGTTTGGTTCCTAGAATCAAACATGATCCTCTCACCCACACAATGTGGGTTTCGTCGACAGCGATCCACCATGGACCATCTGATTCGACCTGAAACGTCGATAAGGGAAGCCTTTCTCAAGATAGAACACATTGTTTCTGTGTTCTTCGATCTCGAGAAGGCTTATGACACTACGTGGAGGTATGGAATTTTACAGGACATCCACTCCTATGGGTTGTGGACCTCCACTCCATTTATCCATTTTTATTCAAAACTTTTACTGAACAGGCAATTCCATGTTCGTGTGGGATCAACTCTTTCTCGTACCTTTCCACAGTAACTTGGAGGCCCTCAGGGCTGTGTCTTCAGTGTCACACTTTTTAGTGTTAAAATTAAAGCCATCACTAATAATCTTCCTCCGACTGTTGCAAATGGGCTCTATGTCGATGACTTCCACGTCTTGTGTCAGTCGTCGAACATGAGGTTTATTGAGCAGCAACTTCAGACTGCCCTCAATCGGTTGTTGAAATGGACCACTGCAAATTGTTTTAAATTTTCATTTTCCAAAACCATTTGCGTGCATTTTTGCCGCCAAAGGGGTCTCCACCCCGATCCCGAGCTCTGTCTCGGCGATATAGTTATTCGTGTGGTCCCTGAGGCAAAGTTCTTGTGGCATATCTTTGACTGTAAGCTTAGCTTCATTCCATACATCAAGCAGCTACGTGTCAAGTGTGCAAGGGCTCTGAACATTCTCCATGTCCTTTCTTCCAGCTCTTGGGGAGCGGATCGATGTTCTATGCTCAGGATCTATCGTGCCCTGATTTGATCCAAACTGGACTATGAGTCGTTGGTCTATGGTTCTGCCAGGACCTTGGCCTTGAAGATGCTGGACCCCATTCGCCACCTGGGGCTTCGGTTCTGCACTGGAGTTTTTTGCACTTCTCCAGTCCAGAGTTTGTGCACTGAGTCCCATGAACCTCCTCTTCATCTCTGTTGTTTGCAACTTTCTTTACAATATACTACCAATCTTCGATCCTTACCTCGGCATCCCACCTGGGATTGTGTCTTTCTTCCTCGATGTACCATGCTCTTTCAGAACTAACAGTCTGCTATTCCTTCCTTTGGCCTTCATATCCAGGCACAACTGGTTAAATTGGGTCTGGCATTGGATGACAGTGCTGTCCTCAATGATCAGCCCATTCCACCATGACTTATTACCATCCCTTCCTGTGACCTTTCTCTGAGTCATCTGAGGAAGGTGGATACTCCCGATTGGAAGTACCATCTTGTTTTTGCTGAACATCTTTTAAGCCATTCTTCTCTTCCTATTTACACGGATGGTTCGAAATAAGGTGACTCTGTAGGTTCTGCCATGGTGTGCTGTGGCTCGGTAGTTGCTCACATGATCCCCTCTTCAGTTTCTGTGTTCACTGCCGAGTTGTATGCTATTTCTCTTGCCCTGGATCATGTAGAAGCTATGGAGTACAGTAATTGTACTATTTACACTGATTCTCTTAGCTCTCTACTGTCCCTGGAATCGCTTAACATTAGTTCTCACCCTGTTCTTGTCGATATTCAACACCAATTGGCCTACTTTACTCTATCCTCTATTTTCATCCAGTTTTTCAGGATTCCTGGCCACGTCAGTATTAACGGGAACAAGCTCGCTGACACCACAGCTAAGTCCGTCTGCTCTGGTGGCATCACGGCCGTGCCTGTCCCATACATGGACTATGGTCCTGTCTTCAAGGCACAGCTTCGTGCCAGTTGGCAGTCGACTTGGGGTGAGCAACGTCATAACAAGCTTTTCCAGATCAAACCTTCTGTTGGTCTTTGGCCGTCTTGGTTCCGTAAGGATTGGAAGGAGGAAGGAGTCCTGGCAAGGCTATGCATTGGTTATAGTTTTTTAACCCATCATTTTCTTTTATCAGGTATTGACCCACCAATGTGTAGCCATTGTGATACTCAAGTCATAATAGCCCACATTTTACTGTCATCACGACCGTGAGCAGCGGCACCATTTTAGATGCATGTTTTCTAAGGGTTTACCCCTGACGTTGGACAGTGTCACTGGTAATGTTCACATTCTGATTAGATTGTATTTTTAATTTTTGACACACTATAGGTCTTTTTAATTATATATATAAATCTTTTATCGACATGTATTGGTTTTAACTCGCTTGTATTTTTACATTTTACTTTAATTTACTCTCACTGTTTTTACCGGTTGTTTGGTGCAGATAGCCTCGTTGCTTTGTGCCATAAAGCAACAAACAACCAAACAAACAATCAACCAAGTAGGCCTTGGAATGTACAAGTGATACACTGTTGTCGCAACACGTATGTACCCGACAACTATGATGATTTTAAGATTTTGTTTAGCTGTTAATTATGATTTTTTAGCTAAATTCATATATTTTGGAAATTTGATAAAGGAGAGATTATTACATGAAACATACTGACATCTTAATATATTTCCTATTACTGAGTTTAACTACAAAGTTTTGAATATTGTAGGGTAAGTGATTTTTTCATGTAAGATGTATTGTCATCTAGTAATTTGTAGTGGAATTACTAATTGCTATGTTGTTCTGAATAATTTGTATTAATTCAAATAAAAATGACTCACTACAACTGAAATATAGCTAAATGTACACCTATTTTAGTGCTGTAATCTAGATTTTTCAAATGCTCATTTCCTTCAAATTATAAAATAATAGATACAGGATAAAAAGAGCATTATGTAAAGGAGAAATTTTAGTATATATATTTTGTAACTATTAAGCCTCCTTTTACAATATTTTACTTTGGTACTATGCTGTAAATTACATACAATAGTGTGAATTTCTTTTCTGCAGGTCTAAATTTAAAGAGATACAAAAAATCTAGAAAATCATCATTAGTCTTGAAAAGGATGAGAAATTATTTAAAGATCTATAGAAATTCTGCAGGAATATATTTCACTTAAACCTGTTTAAGCATTTTGGATTTAAGTCTGAGTATTCTTAAGATTATAAGTTCCAATGTATAAAACAGGTACAAGTCTTCAATAATATTACTAATAGTAAGTGATTGGGTTATCACTTTTTGTTGCATATTATATATATCTCATGTTGAATCTCTGTATTGAGCATAACAAGTTTTACCTCTGCCAATATCACTCAACTCTAGGTTTTTTTACAATGAAAGTCAGAAGTCAGTAGGAATAAGTGTAAAATTTTAGTTATGTAATGCTCTTTAGGAAATATAGTGCTGTGATAAATCTGGAAGCATGACTTGTATTTACGCTCAGCTATCTTTGGAGGTACAGATAAATTTTGTTCATTATTAAGATCTGTAGTTTTTTTATTATTGCTTTGTAGGTCCAAGAAAAATGAAAGTTTGAATGACCATTCTCACCCTGTTATACCTGATCTCTCTAAACAACCTAGTCAATCCAGTGAAACAGAGAAAAAGGAAGGTAGTTTTCATGGTAAGCTAATTGGTTTTGACCAAATGTGTAACACATTAAATATAGTTGTCAGAGGTGTCTTCTGTTTGAGAAAGTTTACTTTCCATGAAAATTTTTTTAACAAGTTTAAGGACAAATGATACAAATGTTAACACTATTAAATAACACCTCCATTAAAATAGGAAGCTAAAAATAATAAAAACGTTCTGACTGAAATCATTACTTACACAAAAGCATATATGAATTATGTACATGTACAAATGTCAGCACATTAAGACAGTTAAAAACTTCTATCATATTAGTGTTGCTCCTCAAGTACATTGTAACATTGTTTTCTTTGCCATGCTAGTTGTTTTAATTTATTGGTGAAAATAACTGACTGGAGTATATTTAATTTGTACAAGTTATTTCCTGTGTAAGGATTTAAACATTTAAATTGCAAATACAGCTAGTTGTATATGTACTTGTTAGTCCCTTAGGTCATATCTAGAGATTTAATTGCTCAGATGTTTGATTTTTCTCAGTGAATTTCAACATAGCAAACTGTGACTGTTTTATGAAGATTGTTAATGAATCAGAAACATAGAAATTATAATGTAATTTTAGGAAGCTCAGATGTAATAAATTTTTTTTTTAAATTATCTGTCTTAAAAAAATACCAGTGGACACATATAATAAACCTGCACTGTTAGAAAAATATTTCTTTTAAATAAATTTAATTTAGTGGTGATATTATAGTAACATGTGCATAATATATTAGAATATAGGAAATTTTTACATTAGATTGACACCAGTTACACGAATGTCATGATATATAGCTTTTTCGTTAAAGCTAAGCAAATTAGTTTATGGCATGAACTTGTAAGTGATAAACACAAAGGTTTGTTGTAATAAAGTATATTTGGTTTAATAATTTGAAATATTTGTTGTTTGTCGTACAGAGAAAAAAGAGGTAGAAGAAAATACAGATGATTTGAAGCAGAATGGGTTCAGCAAACATCAGTCAGATTCATCATTAAACAAGGTAGTTTGTGCTGAAAATGTGGTTAAAAATTAAAGGTTTTGAGAAAAAAAAAGTTAAGTAGTAAAAAGTGTAGAAAATATTACTTTCTATAAATTTTAATCTTAAATTTATAAAAAAAAAATATCAATCATTTATTAACTATATATAATGCATTTTACAGTAGTTCATGCTGTTCAGAGATTACTTGATGTGCCATAAAGAATCTAAGTTAAGAAATATGCAAATGACAAAATAATCACAGAAGTTTAACAAACTGTAAACATGATAGCCAGTTTTTCTGCAAAAAGGTGTGTAAACAATTTTATCTGAACATGCTTTTTTTAATATAGAAATATGTAGGATAACATGCTTTGAAGACAAATTTGGATGGAATGGTTTGACCATTGGCTTATCTTTGTGTTCATTTATCACATGAATAACAGCTAGTGACATTCAGTTATGTTATGTGCTCTTCTGAACCAGTTAGTGATTAGTTTCTCAATTGTAATGTCACATGCACTGCTGAATGTGCTTGTGATAGTTATTCACTTGCAGTGTCCCATCACTGTTGAGCCAGCTCGTGTTATTCAACTCTGATTTAATATGCACTGCTTAATCAGCTGTATGGCACACTGACTGCTGATTTTATTTGTGGTAGTTGTTTAATTGCAATGTCATATTGAATGCATTGTTGAATGAGCTTGTGATAATTACTCACTTGCAGTGTCACATGCACTGCTAAGCCTACTAGTGTTAATTATTTAACTGTGATATTACATGTACACTAATGAATCAGCTCTTGGTAGTTACACAGTTGCAGTGTTGCATACACTGCTATCCAGCTACTATTTAATCATATTGCATCAGGTAGGTCACAACCTTTTACAAAGTTACATTCAAAATTTAATTAAACTACTTTATTATCAATGTATATAAATAAATTTGGCATCAAAAGCTAGTTAGTAAACCAACTTTTAATATTATATAAGTTTTAAGTTCATAATTTTATAAAGAAATATTAAAAAAATCCTCAATCTCCCCTAGTATGAGAACTGTGACTTTTCTCTCTAGGTGTCGTCCGTTTTTTCTAATTTATTTTAAAATCCTCAAAAAGTACAGAATTTAATGTTAATTACTCATTATAATATAGATATTACTCAGGTTAAAGTGTACATGTCATGACCTTTTACAGAGTTGCATTCAAAATTTAATTAAACTACTTTGTTATCAATGTATACAAATAAACTTGATGCTAAAATGTAGTTAATGAACCAAATTTTAATATTATACAAGTTTTAATTTCTTAATTATAAAAGGAAATATTTAAATAAGACCTCATTTTCACCTTTTATTTGTTCACTATGTCTTGTCCATCCTCTATTTTTTCATAACTTCTCTCTTATGTCACTCAGTTTATTGTAAATTATTCAATATAGTATAGGTATTGCTAAGACAAAGTCTAATTCTTATAGCTTTCAATCTTCTTTGTTTACAGATACATAAACTAGAAAGTCATGTAATGTCATCCCTTTTCACAAATTACCCATAATTCACTCTGACATTTTGTATTTCATCATTTATAACCAATAGTAAGACAAAGTTTTAATTTACTGAATTACTTATTGTGCTACATTGTTCTCAATAGAGATTTTTGGTTATTTTGCCTACAAATTGAAAGTTGCTGTCACCAAGTTCAGATTAAGTAGATAAGGGAATTATTTCAAGGCACTTATGCCTTAGTTAGAAAGCCAGTTAAATTATAATAGTTGCAGGATATTATTTGCTTTGTGCATGTTTGTGTTCTGTTTTTATGTGCATTCTTCAAATAGATAAAGATTATTCAATGTACTAGTAATATCATTACAGACAAAGTAGATTTAAATTTCTTTGGCAGGCTAGCAGCATAAAAACAAGAGGTCAAACATAGGAATTAAATTAAATTAAAGCTTATGCATTATGTTATATAATATGTTAACTTGAGATATGCATTCACTGAGTGATTCTCCGAGTGATTTATGGCTTGTATCATTGAATTATCAATTAGACACAATTCTAAGGGCAATGAAACACTAAAGTAAAGTAGAAAAAAATGTAGATTATTATGAGCCTTAAGCTATTTAGGATAAACAATAGTAATATACTGTTAAAATCATCAGTCATTTTAAAAAGAAAAAGAAAGTAATTTAGATTTATTTTAATATATTTTTTTGTGGTGGTTACAAGTTTGGTCAAATCAACTGAGTCCATATAAAGTATATATAGTTAGTGTAGAGAAAATAGCAGATAAAATATAAAATTTTACTGAAATACACGTTTGATATTCATTTAGGAAGTCTTGGGGGTCATGCAAATGTAATTTGAAAACTGTTAGATGAATAATTAACCCTTTATTCATGAGCAGGTAGTAACACACTTACACAGTTATATAACAGTTGTGAAGCCAAAAAATTTTTAACAATGGGTAAATACAATACAAAATTTCTAGAACAAGGTACTGGTGTGTCTAGAACAAAAGAAGAAAACAAAAAACATGTACTTTTCAAAAAATGCTGAAGAAAAGAAAGAAAAATTTAGAAATAATTAAGAAGCAAAGCCATGTTTCTTCAAAAAACCAAGTTAGGACTTTTTCCTTTTAATTATTTGTTTAGTCTTTTTTTTCTTTCATTTTTTAAATATTTTCTCTGCCTTTTTTATCAGTATTTTTTATTATCTCTTTTAGAATGCTCCAGTATATATTTCGAACAATTTGTTTTCCTAAAAATAACAGTTTTCTTCTTTAGAATTTTTGTATTGTTTCTCCCACATGTTGGGTGGATGTTGTTCTAGTTTTTTATGACCACTTTGTAAATAAGAACAAAAGTGGGAAAAAAAGCCTTTAGCAGTTAACTTAGAGAAATTTTAGGTACAGGAAATATTTATTTTAACCTAAGATTTTGGACTTGGGAAACTCATTCATCGGAGGCAAATATTAAACACTGAAATGAAGGTTTTTTTAAATTATTTTGTTTGAACTAATTGCAAAGTAAATCCAACTATTTTTAATAAATTAAATCAATCAATAAATAAATGTATGTCAAATCTTATCTTAGTTTTCAAATTTAAATTACAGTCTGAAAACTATCCTCACAGCCATATTGAGTCAGTAGTTTTTGGGGTTAATCTTGGTATTTGAGGGTAAAATAATAATAAATATTAGTAGCTAATTCAGGCTTTGGTATTTAGTTGACTTTTCGGCTGCATATTTTGTACCTGACATTAACATAGGATAATTGTAGAGGAATCTGTAGGAGTTATCATTATTGTTTTCTAAATGATCTGTTTTGTAACTTTTGAACTAAAGAACTTTTACTCTCATTTTTTTAAGATATGCAGTTATGTTAATTGTAACATAATTGTAACAGCGTGACTTATGTGAGTTTTAATAATGTATTTTTACTGAAACAAATAATAAAAAAATGTCTACTTTAGGATCTTTGCCACCAGCAAGATGTATCATATACAACAGAAGGAGAAGATCACATGCTTCCTAAAAAGGAAACTATTTTGCCAACTTCTCTGAAAGCTATTGCACAGCCTTCTTCCATAAGTAAGTCAGGTCAACAACCATCATTAGAAAGAATGATACCTTCTCAGCTGTCTCCTGAAAGGAAACCGACTTCAACATATCTTGAAAATAAAACAATTCCAGAATTAATTCGTGAAGAGAAGCTGACTACACTGTCTTCTGCTGAGAAGAAGGATGTTTTACAAGTTCCTAAAAGGAAGAGAACTTTACCTGCTTGGTTGGTACAAATAGCAACCTCATCAGCAAGAAAATTAGAGACTAAGAAACCTGTTTCGAAAAAGAAGGAAAGAGGTAATGAATGATGTATTTAGTGCTGTAGTTTTAAACAACAACAAAAAAAATCAGGTAACCAGTCAGTTTATCTGATTAATTTCTAGAAGCTTAGTTTCAAGTAGACAATTAAATATAGCATATTGTTTGGTATATAGTACCTTAAATTAAATAATAATAAAAATAAACAAATAACTAAAGGAATCTGTTTGTAAAAACCTTAGATTTAGAAAAACAAATAAGTAATGATATGTGTTTATTTGGTTTTGAGTACCATGAACTTAGAAAAATGCATTCTTAACCAAATAACAAAGGGTATGCATTTGATTAATTTCTGAAAATTTAGCTTATAATAATCACACTCTTATCCCATTTATTTCTAACCTAAAATCAACATGCATTTGGAAAATGACCTAGACACTTTCAATAGAGTTGTTATAGAGGTGTTAAGACAATCAATCCACTTAAACTTTTAATTTTGCTAAATATGTTCTTTGAAAGTACCCTCACAGCAGTTGTTATTACCATTTGTAGTACACAACAGATGAAAGTAATGTAAGATATTTTATTCAGTGAATATGTAGAAAGTTATTATCTATTTAAGTAAATTTAAAATTACTTTTAAAGGTCTGGTTTATGATTGTAGTGTAAAATGACAGGATATTATAAGTTTAAAAAAAAACCCTGAAAGCAAACTTTCTCAGAGTATTCAAACTATTAGATTTTACTTTGTACATTTGGTTTTTTGAGATCTTAACTTACTGTATATAAATGAATTATGTCTGATATTATTAGAGTCAATTTCCTTAATTAAAAGGAGGATCCATTGTGCAAATGCTTGAAAACATTTGTCATTTAGGTCTCACCTCAGTTAGTCTTTAATTTCTTATATGCTGAAAATTTTTTGTATCACTGTATACCAGTGTTTTTGGTATTTTAATAGATTAATCATGTAACTCATTATCTCAAGAAATTGAGTGATTTTTTGTTATTCAAATTGAAAATTCATGAATTTATCCCAGAAAAATTTTGCTTGGGTACACATAACCAAGGATATGTTTATTATTTTTAATTATTGAAGACACTGTATTCATAATAACTCGGTCAAACATCCAAGCAGTATCTCTGCAAAAAAAAAAAAGGATTACTGTGTATTTATTTGTTTCTCCATGACAGTGTTTCTGAAATTTCTTAAGGAATAATAGTGTATACATAAGTTACAGCTCTTAATACTATCTTTTATAAGAATTTTAACAATTGTTTAAATATTTTCTGAATGATCTTCTAGAAGGTTACTATTGGATCATGACTGTAATGACTGATTTCCTTTATTTATAAAAAAAGAAAAGTCACTGTAATGTTTTTAGCAGTCCCTTCTCATCATACCAGTCCAAAGTACGAATTTAGTGAGAGTGAAGAAGACAAAACTCCAAAAAGAGCCCCAAGAAAAAATCGACAATCTCGGCAAAAAATATCTCTGGGTAAGTTATTCAGAGTAGTTTTATCTATATGATTATTTTATGAAATAATGATCAAGGTTGTTAATCAGAAAAAGATGCTGATATTTCATGTTGTGACTATATAAGAACATACTGTTTTCATTTGCTTTAAAACCTGTTTTACAATTTTGTTTTTGAATGGATAAAAACAAAAATAGTTTGAATCTATAAGAATTAAAGAATTATACTTTTGAAAAACAATGTATTACTTAATAAATCTTTGTATTTATTTGAGTAGTATTCATAAATAGATAATTTATAGTATGAATCTCATGACAGAAACATATTGATTAGAAAGAGGAGGTAATATTCAGAAATGAATAAAATATAGCACCAATGTCAGGACTCTAATATCTATTAGAAACTGTATAAGGTGTTCAGAAGTAAGTAACACATACAGTACCAATTTCATGACAGTAACACACCTGTGAGCAGTTAAAGATAATATTTAGGAATGAATAACACATAGTACCAATTTTCTGTGACAGTAATGTCTTATAAACTATAGGGAATTAATGAGAAGTAAATTATATGTAACACCAATGTCATGTTAGAAACTGTAGGTAGTAAGAAGTAAACTATATATAATAGGATTCTCAAGACATTAACACATTTTTTAAAAACTGCAGGTAGCATTTAAGACATAAATTACATGTGGTACAATTCTCATGACATTGACATCTTTTAGAAACTGTAGAAATAAATTTTTAGAAATAAATTACAGATAGTAATAGTCTCATCACAGTGCCTTGTCTGTTAGAAACTAAAAGTAGAAATGAAGAATAGATAACATATATTCCGATATGGTACTCTCCCTTCGCTCACAAGCTTTTCTCATTTTGTGCTGCCCTCTGTATGCAAACTTTTTCAGAAATGCATGCCACAAGCCTTTATCATCCATCTGTTGGAGTCCTAAGTTCCAACATGTCTCTCATACAAATCATCATGCTTCACCTCTCTACTATCACGTGACGCCCTCTACGTGCCACTACTGAACTATCACTTCTCGTTTGGCAGCTGTCGAGTTCAGACGTTCTTTTTTACATTGTTGAGTTACCTTAAAGTGGTTTATTTTTTTTATTTTGCATTTTTTATATTCTTCCTAACTTTATTTACTACGCTTCACTGTTGTGGAGTTAATATTTTAATTAAAGCATTACTTCCTCGTGTTTGCCGCTTTTTCCTGTTTATGAATTTGGAAGTTACAGTCACCACTTCGGGTACTTCTCTGTATTTTCAGCCACAGGTGCAGGCGACCTGTTGGGGGATATATCATCACTTATTTGTTGGGCGATTGAGTGGTATATGAGCCAATCTCTCTTGCCTACTTCTGCCCCACTTCCTTCTGAGCCTTTTGAGTTGGGCCAGGCTGAAGATCGATTTTGATTGTCCCCCTTCTGGAATTTGCTGCACCTTCCCATTCACTACCTGATGATTCAGCTCATCTGTCATCAGCCTTTTCAGACTTTATCTTTCAGGTATGTAATGTTTTGTCTCTTACACCTGTTTCCTATGACCCTAGACCTTCCATCTTACATAAACAACCTCCCGACCCTATTTAATCTTTCCCCCATCCCCTGATATTAGGGTTCACGTAGACCGATTTGTCTCTCACCTGGGAGAAGGCATTAGTATGTCTCGTACCCCACGGACTTTGGATCAGTCCGCTCTTGATAATCATCAGAGGGACTTTCCCTTTCTCTCTGTTGGGGTTGGTTCTACCTGTTTAGGGTGAATCCAGATTACCCTGTCCAACTTACCCAAGCCCAAGTTTCTCACCCTCACGACTCTGTTAAGGTACCTTTCCTCCCTTTACCTTCTGTCAGAGGCTCTTCACTGGAACCTTGAAGGGTTTTCTGATAAAATCCTCTCCATCCTTACTTCTATGTTGGCTTGCCTGTCATCTTTGGCTCTCATGCCTCAAAGGTTGTTTTATTTGTTGTTGGTCCCTCTTAGGCTCTGACACAGTTTTGGCATGGACCCATTTCCAGGCTCTTTATCTGAGGGACCTCCACATGGCACCGTTTTTGCAGTGTTATGTGTTTGACTCAGTTCCTGAGTCTTTGGGGTCATGGGGGGCCTTGGCTCATCAACATTCTACCATTACTAACTTGGTAGCATGTTTGTTGCAGTTGGGGCTGAGTGCGGCACCAGTTCCTGTCACTCGACCTTCCCCTTCCTAACCTCTTCCTGTCCCACCCTCCTGCGGTGCCACAGTTCGATGATTTACTTGATGGTGCATGATTCGCCATCAACAGTATCAATGACTACGTGGTCAATTTGAGCCCAGTGGAGGCTCATTTCTTGAATTTCGTTCATTGGTGGGGATCTTTTCTTGCCAATGTCTGGGTTTACAGAGTGCTCTCGGAGGGATATGTTATCTCCTTTCTCTTCCTTTTCCAGTTTTCCCTTCTCCTTGGGATCTTTTGACACACCAGCATCTGTCAGAGACAGTTCAGGACTTCATCACACAGCAGGCTATCAAACCAGGTTAACGGGGGTTTTACTTCCACCTGTTTGTGGTTTCCAAGAAGACCAGGGACTGGTCCTGTCATCGATTTATCCCATCTCAATCAGTATGTTTACACTCCTCACTTTTTCCTGGAGACATACCTTTCTCTTTGATGGACATTTTCTCCAGGTCTTTGGATGACCAAGGTGGACATTTCCAATGCTTACCTACACATTCCTGTGGTGGAGTGTTCACATCCATATCTTCAGTTCATCTATCAGGGGGTTGTGTATCAGTTTTGTGTCTTACCTTTCAGCCTAGCCTCAGAACTATATGTGTTTTGTTGTGTTGTATGCTCCTTTGCTCGGCATATTCATGCCATTGAGTTGCTCTTCCATGTTTATATGGATGACTGGCTTCTTCTTGCTCATTCCAAATGGGAATCGACCTGTCACAATTGCCAGCTCCTGGCCAAAGCTGTGTGGGTGGGCTGGTTGGTCAAGTTGGAGAAGTCTTTCCTTCATCCTACCCAATACCTTATCCATTTGGGTGTTTTCTTCAACACCCATCTCAGTTGGGCCTGAACTCTTCCTCTCTGCCTCCATTCTATGGAATGGGCTATTCAGAAGGCCCTATCTGTTCTCTCACTTACAGTCCACAAGGTTTTATAGCTTTTGGGAATGTGGTCCTCCATAACCCTTCTTATACCCCTAGGCAGGGCTCATATGCAGTTTCTTCAATGGGTCCTTCACGATCAATGGAACCTCACCGGGCACCCTTACCACTTACCATTTCCAAGCCGCTGGGGTGGTTGATCATGGAGGCAACCTGCTGGATGGGTTCCACAAAGATGGCTATAAACATTCAGTTCAGAGTAGGGCAGTGGTGTTCTACCAGTGTAGCAGGAGTTAAAAGATCCTTCAGTTGAGTAACTAATTCCCTGATTTGAGACCCACAAATGCAGTTCACCCCTCCGATTAGATGCCCTCCTCCTACTCTTGCATGGATGTCGGTACTCAGTAAGTGAGGTTTTGGAGATCAAGTCAACCAATCACATAAGTCCTCACACAGGTTTTGGGTTGTCCATCTTCCCCTCTTGACTTGTCTGCTGTGTTGTGGGTTGTAGAAGGTCAACGTAGCCTGTTTCTGCTTCTTTCCTAGGTTTTCCCTCATTGGGTGAAAAGGTTGTTACTGACCTGGGGTTGTTTTGGGCTGTTTTCATGGATGCAGGAGTTGAATGCAATCGATGGACTTCCCTCAGATTCCTGATGACACATTCCCGGATACCTGGCATTAGGCTACCTTGTGAGTTCTTGGAGTCGATTGTTAGGTTCCCTTTTGACTCTGGGACTTGAGGGGAAGATGGTATGATTCTCATCCTACCCTTGCAAAGCTGTTGGTACCCTGTGAGTGAGGTTTTGGATGTAGTTGACTTACCGAATAGGGTCTTTTGCACCCTAGCCACTCTATGTCATGGGACACATCCTCACTTGCCCACTTTTCATTGTGGGATTGAGCAATTTTGATTTCTGTTTAAGATCACATTGCTAAACTATCCTCTCCCATGTGGATGTGCTCCCTTCATGTTCCACCTGATCATGTTGAGGTCAGGTGTGGTGTGGTGCCCCTCCTCAGATTATCTGATCTGTTCCTCTCATTTCGGGGATGTCCTCAGAATGCTTCTGGAGGATATGCCTGTGCTTCCTTCACGTTGGGCCCTCCTCAATTCTTGTGAGCGAAGGGAGAGTACCTTATTGGAAGTTATAATTTTCCTAAATGAAAATGCATTTCCGATAGGTACTTCCCTCTTCTCACACTTCCCATCCATCCTCCCCATAATCTTCTGCTGCTCGCATTTTCTGCTAAACTTAGAAGTGATAGTTTGGGAAAGTGCCACGTAAAGGTAGTCACATTCGTCATGTGATAGTAGTGCTGTTCTACTGGTGGAGAAGTGATGCATGATGATTTGCATGAGAGATGTGATGGAACTTTGGATTCCAACAGAGGGATGATGAAGGCTTGTGGCACATGTTTCTGAAAAAGTTTACAGAGGGAAGTACCTGTCGGAAAGCACTTTCATTTAGGAAAATTATAACGTCTTAATTTCATGGCAGTAACAGATTTATTGGAACCTTTTTGTAAGTAACACTCAGAAATAAATCAACATATCAGTTTTGTAACAATAATGCATCTGTTAGAAACTGTAGGTGATCTTCAGAAACAAATTGCAAAAGGAACCAGTCTCATGACAGTAACACATCACAATATTAGGAACTGAAGGCATTGTTCAGAAATATATATATATATATATATATATATACAGTGCCAGTTTTGTGACAATAATAGTTCTGTTAGAAATTATAGGCAGTTATCAAAAATAAGTCACTCATATTATCATTCAAGATGATTTTATTGTGAGTGATGAAGAATGGGAAGAGACTGATAACAGAAAAAGAAAAAAAAGTGTCAGGAAGGGAAATGATTCTGGTAGTGACTGGGAAGTGGAAAACAGAAAGAAGAAATGGAACAAAGAATATAACTCAAGTAGTGACTCTGGTGGTGGCCATAAAAAGAAGAAAACCTCCAGGAAAGTTATTAACAGCTGTGCTAGTAACAAAGACATAGTTCCAAAGAAAGCAGTAAGTATGCTGTAATATCAAGTTCATAAGTGACAAACTACTAGTAATTCAAGGAACAATGAAGCTAGTTGTTATAAAGTATTTTCTGTCATTCAAGATGGAGTTTCTAAATAAATATTCGTCATTAATCTCTGCTTATAGGATTTAAGGCACACAGAACAGAGAAGTAGTAAACTATACATAAGTCTATATCTCTGAGTGTTGAGTTACATAGTTTGAACTTAAGTTTCAACATCAGTTATGGTTATTAGTCATACATATTCCAGCAGCAAGCATGTGCTTAAAAGTGACATGAGCTGAAAAATTATATTTCACTATTTGGAGGATTCACTTATTCATAATTTTGGCCAATTAATATTTAAGTTATATGATTGGACATTGTACAGTAGTTTAGCTTATTTCTGCTTTCTTTGCAGTCTTTTTAACATACAACACTGGAGACTCGTAGAGAGATTGTGTTGCCTACTGTTTGCACAATCTACTTTTACTTGTTTTTTATTTTAGTAGGCTGGTGAATCTGGTGGCCAGTTGGTTGCAATACAAAGGGTCATATGAAGGTTTATATAATTTGATATTGAATAACATTAACTACACTCCTGTGGTATATGATGTAATATTGCTCATTAAGCCAACATTTCCTACAGTCTAGATGGAATTTATTTATTGAACGGCATAAACTACATTCCATTTGGCTTAAAATAATATTAACTATACTACACACAATTTAAAATTTCATGACAAATATTTTTACTCCATGTTCTTTACAATTTCTTATTAGATAACATTAACTAAATTATCTAACATTTACAATTTTTATCTTGCTTTATCCCATTTACATTTTCTTGTTTAATAAAATTACCAACATTACTTATGAACAATGTACAGTCACTTGTTTAATGATATAATCTGATAGAGCTTCTTGAATAAGAGCATCAACTGTACATGGCTTACAAATATATTTGAATTTTGGAAATTTGTCATGTTTAGTGCATTTTTTGTTTGAAAAAACTTCTTTTCATTAACCCATGCTTATATTGTAATTTTTTTATAAAATCTGTGGTTTTATTTATCAAGTGAGATTTCATTTACCATTACAGTCTTTTATAATTATTTTATGGTGTATAATTTCTTTGTAAAGTGTTTTTCACCTTATTACTATTTTCTTGCTAGTTTTTGTTAAATTAGTTTTAAACTTGTTTTATAGCATAGTTTTAGTTTAGGAATTGTCTTTTTTTATAATACATGCACTGTTACACCACAGTATTATTGGTGTAAATTTTAATCATATCTCTCATTATTGGACTTATTTGTGTTTCCTCATAGTCATGTGAAGCCTTTTGGCTCAGTACCAGAGGTCATTCGGATAACTGAGTTACAATATCCAAAGTCTTAGTTGAAGCACCATTTATATCATTTATTTATGAGAATCCAAGTCTTATGGTTTACATACTTCTAAGATGACAAAGTGTAATTTTTGTTTGTATTATTAATTCACAGTAATATTAATAATTATAGTACATACAGTGGTATATAACAGGTGAGGTGGAGTTGAAGTATTATTTACACTCTTCATATGGAAAAACCATCTTGGACACTTGGGAAAATGTGATTAACATTTGTATTATTATTTTAAACACATATATTACCAGCTTAGATGTTATACAACATTATTATTATTTTTTTATTGTTTCAAGTGTATTATGGTCTGTATTAAAATCAAAAATATTATTTGATTTTTGTAAGTTTCAGGTGCTAAACATTTCTGTTTTTAACTATGACTTAGGCAGGGAATCAGAGTTTAGGAAGTCAAAAAAGTCCTCTCAGTCCAGAGACAAATGAAGAACTACTCACAGAAAAACAGAAAAATAGAAAATCTTGTAGATTTGGTGAAAATTGCTACAGGTTGGTTGTAATTTAAAGTATTTGCCAGGAAAGTTTGTGAAGAAGGTTTTTGAAATATTTAATACTGTCTGCAACATTCTCTCCTTTTTATTATACTGCCATCTGTTAGGCTTTTTGAATAATTTTATTCCTGAATAAGACAGGCATAGTAAACTAATTACCATCCACAATTATGGGCTGCTTATTATAAATATTCTGGCATTGGAATTTTAAATAACAATAAATTAATTGGACTTGCAAGTTGTTGCTTGAAGGTAGCTGTTTTTCTTTGTTAAGTAGTGTAAGTATAAGCAGAAGTTATTAAGTTGAGTCTTATCTGTGTGGTTAAATTATAAAGCAAAAACTTGAGCAGCTAATCCTTTGTAAAGAGGTATGTTACAATGAGGTCATCTTTAGAGAATATCATGGTTGTTAGAGATGGATATTATGTTGTTATTCTTTATAGTAAGGTACATTATGATGAGACCATGCATACAGAAGGCCATGTATATTTTATCTCTAGTAAGATGTATTATGTTGAAACCATCCTTATCAAATGTTATAATTATTTGAAACATATGTAAGTATTTAATCTTTCTCTAATAAGATATATTGTCATGGGGTTGTTACTTACTAATATTGTGATTATTAGAACCAGACATTAGGTTATAAATTATATTGTGAAGAGGTTATTCTTATAGAGTGTTGTGATTACCGAAAAACATAGCGAGTTCTGATTCAATCGTATCTTAAATGATTTGAGAATAAGTTGCGTTTTTCTTTTTATGGGTAGAAAAAATCCATTGCACTTTGAAGAATTCAGCCACCCTGGGGATGCAGATTTTGTGTTTGGAGATGAAGCAGAAGAAGCTAGCAGTGACAATGAGGACAACAAACCTGAATATCAGTACGGAATAGACCATCATTAAACATTAATAATTGATTGATTTAGTTAGTTTTTTTAATTTGGTCCAGAAACTACATTTTTATTCTTAAAGAATGTGTAACTATATTTATAACAAATAACAAGAGTAAAGATGTGTTGAACTAATCTCATGAATTTGAGATAGTAAATAGAGGAAAAAGTTCTTGACTTATAATAGAGAAATATACATCTAGATTAAGTTTTTTTAATAATGGTAATGTGTTTCATAGTACTGTTTTAACTTGGTGTTTTCACATTTACAAGCTATGATAACTGTGTGTTAAGTGTATAGTTAGTGTTTAATGAATACATTAGTGCTAAAAAAAAAGAAGTTAAGACAATATTAAGAAAGAACACCAAACTTGAGAAGATCAACCATTATATAGACAGAAAAGTATTAACTGAACCACTTTAATATTTATTGTCACTTAAAAGGTATGAAATTACATTTATTTTTAGCTTTCTTATAAAACTTAAGTGTGTTACAGAATATGAGGCAAACAAAGTAAATTTGTAAGTTTGTTTTGGACAAGTTTTTCAGTTTAAATTGTACAAGCTTCTTAGTTCTTGTGTAAATTTCAGGAATAATTTAAAACAGAAGAAGAAGTATAACTATTCCAAGAAGAATAGGCCAAAACGAGAGGCAGCAAGAAAAGGTGGTATGTATATTATGTATTAGAATTAATATTAACAGAATAGGATAAGCTTTCAGACATTACGGTATAGATATCTTGAATGTAAGAAACCTAATGTTAAGCTAGTTGAATATTTTAGTTAAATGCATATATAGATCATTAATAGCAACTAATATAAGAGGATAATATGTTATCGACTCAAGTACCATAGAGAGACATACCTAGTGACATCTAGTGTGTCCTACTTGTTGGCTGTGTGATCTCGAATAACAAGTTTTACTGTTGTACTTTGCCTCATGCACAAGTAGTTTTTATTTCACAAGTGTAGTATGGTAATCCTTGCTACCTACCAGCTTCTGGCTGTTGGGGTGTTGGACCATGGAGACACCGTCTTGAGTTTCTTCAATTCTGTTGAGTTAAGAGCAGGGTAGTGTTGTTCTGTGGGTGTAGATGGTGTTACCTCTTCATTTACCATGGAACAGACGAATAATTCCTGACATTGCCTGGTTTTGGGCTGGAGATGATCCACCAAATAAATTTCACCCTCTGGCTGGGATCCCTCATCCTACTGCCACCTGGATGTTCGTTCCCAGGTGGTCTGGTATTGGATTAGAGCAGGTCCAGCCAACATAAGTCCTCATGCATGTGGTTGGTAGGAACCTTTCATCTACCACAGATGGAATGATAAATTATCAATGCTGCCAATTTTTGGACTCACCATGTTGCATTATCCCTTCTTACCACTGTCCAGATGTCGGTTCCCAGATGGCCTGGTGTTGATTGTGTACTGGGTCTGCACACATCTGCCCTGGATAGGTTGGCAGAATGGAAGCTGTTTTTCCCTTCTGCTTTTTAGTCATGAGCTTAAAATGGTAGGGACTTTCCTTCTGTTGTGGACAGGACAATAAATATCCAATGCCACCTGGTTTTGGAACTGGAGCTGACCAACTGAATGTGGTTAAAATGTTATAGCCATTCTACATTTAAAGATAACAGCCTCAAATTTCTTTTTCTGATTAGTCTGTGCAAAAGATATATATATATATATATATATA